GAGGGCAGCGCTGGGCCAGTGCCGCCCACGCGGGTTCTCGTGGCTGCTGCCTGGGCCCAACGGCTTTGAGTGTGTGCGCTCAGCTGGTTTTATTTTATTTTGAACTTCTTTGGCATCGCCCTTTTTTATCGTTCATGAACTCTGATCATAGACAGAAAGACTGTGCCAGAAAGATTTAGGTCTGCCTTTTAGGTTAATGCCAGTATTTGAGAGTCAGGCCTGATAGGAAGCAGTAACAAGTGCTAGACAGAAGTGAAAAAAGAGCAAGACTGTAAGTCTGAAGTATGATAGTCCAAATTTCCAGGGGTCGGACTTCAATGAGAATAAACCAATTTAGGGGTATAGGTCTTTTATGAGCTTACAGATTTGAACTTGAAATTTGTGCTAGAGTTTAAGAACTTGATAAGAAAACAGCACTTGGGAAAATTAAGGGTAAAATGGCTGTTTAATTTCTTCATACAAATTGGGCTTTAAATGCATAGTGCATTTGACTAGCATACTTAAATATTGTACCTTCCAAATATTTAAAAAATGTCCTTATTGATTTTAGAGAGGAAGGGAGAGGGAAACATTGATGTGAGAGAGACACATTGATTGACTGCCTCTTGCACAGGCAGGGATCGAATCTGCAACTCAGGTACATGCCCTTGACCAGGAATTGAAGCCGAGACCCTTCAGTGTGGGGCTGGCGCTCTAATCACTTAGAAACACTAGCCAGGGCTGTATATATGTAGTAATTTTTAGACTCTAAATTTTGTGCTATGAGCCATGAAACTAATACAATGTATAGTAAGTACAGTGTATAGTATAGGAATGATAGGGCAGTTCAGAGTTTAAGAAAAACAACTACTAATAATTATTGTACCTATACTGGCACACTACACTTTTTTACTAAAGCCTTAAGAATTCTTTTAAAACTATACACCCTGCCATACTGTCCCATTCATGTGCAACATAGATGGAGCAATTTTCATTAATGCATAAAGTGTTAGAAATTTTTAAATTAATTAGAGGCCATTAATTCCTAATAGCCAAAGCTTGTCATGTAAAAAAGTAGAGAGAGAAAAACTAAAACGTCAACTTTATTATTTCTGAATGGGTTAAGATGAGGCGGCAAGCACAATGGGTGTGAGCAGGTTTCCACAGGGGCTTGGCCTTGGGTAGTAAGGCTTGTGTTGTGACCTATTAGGCTTTGATTATTTGACCTGTTTTCTTCGATTATTTTTCTCATCTTTGCCACTGAACCTTAAGTCTAGGAGCTATCCCCTTCCCTTCTTGTAAACATTGTAAAAGTCCGTCTATTCTGTCGTTAGTGCCAAATGCGTGAAGTGAAAGCATGGTTCTTTGTCCCCTGTCCCAGTGACCAACTCAAGTAATACCTGTCAACACTAAATTGTCAATCATGTTGTGTCTGTTTCATTTTTTTGGTATTTGCGTGTGATAGCTTTACACTTGTCAGTGTCTTTTATTGAGGCTGTAAGCCGGCAATAGTTAAGACTTTCATTATAAAGGACCCCTGTCTTAAATTTCCCAGCAAGATAAGGGAAAAGTAACCTGCTGGCAATCTGTATATCCAAGCTTCGCTCAGAGGCTCAATTCTGCCACCTCCAGGGAAGGCTAGACACTTGACAGCTAATTGATTGAGGGGCTGGGAGTGGGCCTGGACTGATGGAAAAGTGTTTCTGTGGTCGGATCTTGCCAGTAGACTGTAAGTTGCTGATTTACTAAAAGACCCCTTAGGGAGGTAAGACCATGATGAATTAAAAATGTTAACTGCTTTGCCCTGGCCGGGTGGCTCAGCGGGTTGGGGTGTCCTCTAGTACACCAAAAAGTTGGGGGTTTGATTGGGGCACATACCCAGTTCCATGCAGTTTTTCTTACAGGAGATGGTGACACCTGGAAATAGAGGCAAAAGGAGGAAGGTATGTATTCACGTAAACCACAACTCCCTTCAGGTTAGGCATGAAAACATTTATTATTCTTTCCACCGAGTTGTGTAAAGGGATAGGAATTTAAAAAAGATTTTGTAATTGGCAAAGGAAAGGAAACGAATAGGCAGAAACCTAAATGAAAGGAGGCCCGAATAGTTTCATCAGGATCAGCAACTGAGACGTGGGGACCAGCAGTTGCAGGAAATCACGTTGTCCTCTGGAGGGTGGGTAGGGCGGAAGGCTTCGCTGGGCCAGTGACTGGTGGTAGGAAGAAGACAATGAGATGGCATCTTGTAACAGGGATACACCAGAAGGGGAGATCGACAGCCACCCACTCACAGTACCCACGTGCACCCCCGCGTCACCCGCCTCAGCGAGTCTTGGTTCTGGCGGCTTCCTTGTGCCGCTCCACCAGGGAGCCAATCCACTCCATGGTTTTCTGCTTGGCTTTCTCCCAGCTGAAGAGGGGCTGGTACCCCAGATCTTGCTGAGCTTTCTTGTAGGAGAAGGTGAAGACGCTATTTAACAAGGTCACCGTGTGGCGGTTGAAGGGGGGTTGATACCTGTAAATGGGACTGAGCAGGAAGCTCACTATTTCCAGCAGGAAGCCCAGCCAGTACTTGGGCAATACAGGCAGGCTCATCCGGGAATCCAGACAGAAGCCCCACTCTTTGCTCAAAGTGTAGTTGAGGTGGTCGTAGCTCTGGTGCGGCGTGTCATCTGCGATGTAGTAGAACTGTCCTTGGATGTTTGCGGCTTTCTCCGGGTCCCGCAGGGCCCTCAGAGCCAGAATGTGGGCCCAGGCCACGTTGCCAACATACACTGGGTTGACGATGGAGAGCTTGCTGTTGTGTGGCAGGATGCCATTGTTCTTCAGGGCGTGATCAATAAAGCCATAAAGGAAGGGGCTTCCTTCCCCATAGATAAACATGGGCCTTAAGGCACACGTGTACAAGGTGCCACCATTTTTAAGAGCCCACCCATTCGCGGCCAGCACAGCCTTCTCGGCAAGCTTCTTGCTGTACGGGTATGCAGCTGACCACGTGGTTTCCAGAGGCTGGTCTTCAGAGGCGTTCTGGATGACCTCCCGGTAGGAGTTGGGCCCGGCCACCTCTATGGTGCTGGTGTAAATGAAGATGGGCACACTGGCCTGGGCACAGGCCTCCAGCAGGATCTGGGTACCTGCCCACAGGAGCACGCTGTCAGTGGCAGGCAAAAGCCCAAAGGACCCACGCCCACCGACCCTGTCCACCCCCACCCGCAGGGGGGAGGGGTTATTGCAGACCAGGAGGGAATGCTCCCATGTCTCTGGCTGAGAGCTGACATGCCAATGCCACAGAAAAGTGCAACTATAAAAGGCAAAGATGTCTAGGCTTTTGGATTTCGGGGGCCTGCGTGTGTACTTCCGATTCTGGAAAAGGACATAGGGTTGCCACTTCATATTTTCCTGATGATGGACATTAACAAATGATCACTTTTCATCCCTACCACCTCATCAATGGAAGGCTATTTTAAATAAAAGAAATTAGGAGGCTATACTCTCAAAATATGGACAGTCCTAGTCCCTAGGCAAAAGAGAACAGTTAAAGGACTCTCATCTCAAACACACACACACATACACACACCACACACACACAGGTTTATAGGTAAAAACACTCTTAAATATATATTGAATTGTTTGTATCGTTCTCTTTTTAAGGACGAATAAAAATGTAGTCGCAAGGACATTTCTTTGAGAGCCACTGAGCAAATCAGTGTTTTCTGGGGAGAAGCTGGAGATCCAGGTTCTGTTCCTGACTGTGTGTCCCCTGGAGGGCCAGGCCTAGGACTTCCCAGGCATGAAAAGTGGGCGTGATAACCCCCCTCCTCCTAAGCATTGCGGAATTCTGCACGGGCCTTGCACGTTGAGCCTGGGGGAGAATCAGAAGGGGGCGCCCTCTGGTGGTGTGATACCTACCTGGAGGATCTGGCAGAATCCCTTTAGCTGAGTAGAACCTTAGCTCAGGGAAGTAATCCAGAGCTCCCTCCCTACAAGGAATATCTGGGCCAAAGCATCATTTTTATGTTTTGCATTTTATAAA